CCATGTCCTTCTTACATTGAGGACACCAGAAGTCTACACACTTGTGTTTCCCCTTGCTTCAGTGTTGAATGCTTCTCTCTGGAGCTACTCACAGTGGCAAATGATCTATCCACTGGTGCTGCAACAGAAGCCTCCAGCTTTCATGAACTCTATTTTTTGTGCAGAATATGTAAATGGGAGCACTGGTGAAACAGTGTCATAGGCCATTTGTGTGCTGACTTCAGGATGTTTGAACAATGTGAAGTCTATTATAGTGTTGCAAACCTAAAAAATATGGGGATTTTTTACAAGCCTACCCTGTCCTTCCCCACATCCCCCACCCTGTATTTTCTGGCATTGTGTGAACTGTAGTCACAAGTAAAATAGTCTTTTCCCATCTTTTAAATTTGAGTATTTATTTTATTCTCTTGAATTTATTGATCAGTGAAAAAATGATTGCAGGAAAATCCCTTAGTATCTCAAGCTAAGTACCTGTGATTGTTAATCTTGTAATTTAAGACTGTCCACTGGGGGTCTCCTGTTTTATATCAAGTTTCTTCAAATACTACTTTTTTCTTTTTTCTAAGGAGGACAATGAAGACCTGAAATGCCAGCTACAGTTTGTCAAAGAAGAAGCAGCCTTGATGAGGAAGAAAATGGCTAAAATTGATAAAGAAAAAGACAGATTTGAACATGAGCTGCAAAAATACAGATCATTTTATGGGGATTTGGACAGTCCCTTGCCAAAAGGTGAAGCAGGTGGGCCACCTACCACAAGAGAAGCTGAACTTAAGCTTCGATTGAGACTTGTGGAGGAGGAAGCTAACATTCTTGGGAGGAAAATAGTTGAACTAGAAGTAGAAAATAGAGGACTGAAAGCAGAGCTTGATGATTTAAGAGGAGATGATTTCTCAGGGACCTCTAACCCACTCCTGGGAGAGCAGAGTGAATCCCTGTCAGAATTACGACAGCATTTGCAACTAGTAGAAGATGAAACAGAATTGCTGAGGAGAAATTTGGCTGATTTGGAAGAACAAAACAAGCGCATAACAGCTGAGCTGAACAAATACAAGTACAAGTCTGGAGCCCATGAGAGCTCTAGGCACCATGATAATGCCAAGACAGAAGCATTACAGGAGGAGCTAAAAGCTGCACGAATGCAGATCAACGAGCTGAGTGGCAAAGTCATGCAACTCCAGTATGAGAACAGAGTCTTAATGTCCAACATGCAACGCTATGACTTGGCCTCTCACCTTGGGATCCGTGGCAGTCCCAGAGACAGTGATGCGGAAAGCGATGCAGGAAAAAAAGAGAGTGATGATGATTCCCGTCCCCCTCACCGCAAAAGGGAAGGCCCCATTGGTGGGGAAAGTGACTCTGAAGAGGTACGCAACATTCGGTGCCTGACACCCACGAGGTCTTTTTATCCGACAGCATCTGGGTGGCAAAAAAACTTCACTGACAGGCAGCAGATGAAGGACATTCGCTCTGAAGCTGAGCGGCTGGGCAAGACAATAGATCGCTTGATTTCTGACACAAGCACCATCATAACGGAGGCAAGAATTTATGTAGCTAATGGGGACCTCTTTGGACTGATGGACGAGGAAGATGATGGCAGCAGAATACGTGAGCATGAGCTTCTTTACCGGATCAATGCACAGATGAAGGCCTTCAGGAAAGAGCTTCAGGCTTTCATCGACAGACTGGAAGTTCCGAAGTCTTCAGACGACCGAAGTGCAGATGAACCTTTGTCAGTGAGTCAGGTAGACTTTTACTTATTAAGGCCTACAGGTAAAAAGGCTCCGCCAAGTGAACTGAGTCTCAAATTTGAGATATGGCACATCAAAATTCTTTATTCTAGACAACAGAAAAAATCACTACTTAAATTATTTCAATCCTCATTTGGCCAAATGGAATCTTGTTCTACCAATGGGGCTGTTTGTGAACAGTGAGTAAGTGTAGTGTCCTGGAAATCATAAGAACTATTTTCTAGGAGGTGGAACATTTTACTCCTTTCTGGCTTTGCAAGTGCATTTGCCAGAGTTGTGCTCCAATAAAGGCAATGCAGACAGCATTTTTGGCACATAAATGAACATGATTGTTTTCTTAGTGGTTAGGTTCCTGCTAAATGGATAGAAAGAAAATCTCATCAATTTTAAACAAGAGGAAACATTAAATTTCCAAAATTATAGAGAATAGGACAAACCATAGAGAAAAATAAACCATGCAAATCTGTACAGTCGCAGAGCCATACAGTAGTGTGAATATTGAAATTACTGTAACTGATTATATCTTTTGAAGGCCTATGGGTCACTGCTTGTATGCAGCAGTGACTAACATCTTTTTTGCAGTTCATTTTAATGCAGAATTGTTCCAGAGAGGTTTTGGGGAGGAACTTCCCTGCTGACTCAATGTCTTTTGCCAGGAAAAATTAAAATTACCTACCCTTATCTTAGCATGTAATCCTATAGTTGACAAATCCTGTTATTGCTCATGGTATTATCTCATGTTTTTGTAAGTCTCTTACTTTGTTAATTTACTTCGTACTGTTCTGCTAGTTTACAGTCAAAGTAGTTGACAGGTGAAGCTGAAAGCTATTATTTCTTATACCTATGCTGACTAATTAGTCTTTTGTTTCCTTGTATCAGAAAGTCACAGACGCAGTGAGTTTAAAGCTAATCAATTACTATACATGTATTGCATGAAATCAAACAGAAACAACATTTAGCATGCTCACTTTTTGATCTAGCTATAGCTCTGAGCTTGTAGAGTTCCCATTAACTTAAAGGCAGAGTACTGCATGGGCTTATACAAATTTAAAGCAAACTAATTAGTATTATCTCTAAACAAACAACATCAATAGTTAAATTGGACATGTCAGGGCTAGGCCATGCAGAACTCCTATTGAAGTCAATGGGAGATTGGCAGTTGGTCCCTCCACAAGCATAGTCTGATTCACTATTTATTTTGTTGAAACTTTGGACTTGCTATTCCATTAATTGACTGTTCTCTTTGTCTTTGTATTTACTTTCCCAGATGTTCCAGCCTATCATTTTACTTATTCTCATCCTTGTATTATTTTCATCCCTTTCATACACAACAATATTTAAACTTGTCTTCCTTTTTACACTGTTTTTTGTACTGTAAGCCATTCATCATTTACTGTTCATTGTAGTATTATTTTCAGTTTGTTTATTTTGTCCATCCTCCAAGATAAGACGTGCAAGAGACATAGTTTCTGTAATAGCCACTGCTGTAAAAACACTGAAGACTACTTGTTTACCAAAACCAAACCAAACCAAAAAACCCCTGCAAGAACCATACCAAAAAGTCACCCATTTGAATAGGAAACCTTCTCACCATGGTGTTCCAGGTAAGCAAAGAGAAAATGGCATTTTTCCCTTTGTCTGATTTTATCATTTTTTAGTAAAAAATTCCTGAGTGACTGGGGCCAATTTATTATTCATAATTTGCACCAAATCAGAAGCAAACCAGAAATATGCAGAGTGGGTGTGAAGAATCTGTTCCTTTCTTCTTCCCACTCCCAGAAAAAGAATTTGTATTCTAGCCATATATGAATAGTAAAACCAGATTTTATATGTATTATGCAATTGTACGTCACAGCTTGAATGTATTTTGCATGATTGTGATGATGTTTTTCAGTATTATATGATGTGGATTAGACACCATGGAAGGCACAAAATCTGAATGGTTAGCATTACAGCACTATATCTGGAAATGTGGCAAGGAGCTGGAGTCCTGAGAATGAGATGCACGAGGAGGAGGTATCAGAGTAGGTGAGGAGTCTGCTGAGAGATGTAGGCTGACTGCATTCTTTCTGTGCTCTAGAAAAATGGCCACCTCATAGTCTGACTTGAACTGAAGAGAGTGAGGCTAGTCACCTTGCGTGATGTCAGGTATCTTTTACTAGCAATCGAGTTTGTCAGATAACATTTCCCAGTCTGTAGCTCTCAGGGCTCTGGATCCTCTGTCCGAGTTTCAGAATGGGTTTTAAATGAACGTGGTAACTCTTGGCTTGCTGAGTGACCCCTGTCTAACCATGCCATTGGTATGGGGTGACCACAGGTGAAGGAAGCTGGTGTACACAGGTATGCATCAATGGTCACTGCGTATTCCTGCCTTGCCTGTGAGAGGCTGCAGTGAGAGCGTAGGCAATTCATATCTTTCTACCACACTGGACATAGGTAGTTTCTACAAACAGTAGATCTCCCACTTTGATACCCTCATCTGAAATGCCCACTGGAGCTCAGTTTTCTTTCTGTTTTATTCAACCTATGAGTCCAAACCACTGAGTCTCACAAATATGAATTCTCCAAAGGCGATCGTTTACAAGTAAGTGGATTACTGGTGGGTTTTTTATGCAGATGCCGTGATAAAAAATTTAGTCATAAATAGTGGTAATAAATAAAGCAGTTGTTTTTCTAGCTGGCAATAAGAATTCCTTTTAATTTATTGTGCTAGCACTCTGTTCATTTAACTCATTCCCCAGTAAGAGCAGATTATCTCTGTGCCTAGGTTGTGTTTTGCTACCTGAAATAAAAGATACACCTTTTTAAGGGAAACCCCTCAGAGGAAAGCAGAGATTGAGCAATAAAATTTATTTTATAAGAAAGAAAAAAATAGTAAACTCATAATATTCAGTATTAATAAATGGATTTGCAATTTGGACATTGAATGTGTAATAGTTTGAGGCTTAAACTTGTCATATCGAGTCTTAGAATGAAACTCACTTTTTGAGTTTCTTTTTTGTTTTAGTGTATTGCCTGAGGGAAGAGAAGATCATTTAGGTTTTCTTAAATGCTACTAGCTCAGTCCCGTAAAAGAGAAAAAAATCATACTTCAGTCTGTTCTGAAGTTCTGGGCTTTCAGATTTTAACCCACACTTGTTTATACCTTTCTCAGCCTTGTATATGATGAAGGTTTGGTTTACACTGAGTGTATCAGTAACAGTACTACTGTAAAGTAGTAGGAAAGCTTAATACACTGAAGTAATATATTGAATACGTCTTGTAAGTAATTGGGAAAGATTTGCTTCTTTCTCACAAACCTGAAAAGATCATGATGAACCTCTTGAGACAAAAGGGGGAGATGATCACCTCTGCACAGGACTGGTAGTTATAACTCCATTGATTTCTCCCAGTGTCTTTTCTTGCATGTAGCTGGAGCTTTCCTCATCCTAATTCTATTGGGTAAACAAAGCAAATCAAAGCTGAGACGTTATGGGACATTTAGGGAGCTTTTGTGAAGTCTACAATATGAAATTAAAGCATACCAAAGCATACAAAATCATTTTAGAAGCTCCCCAAAGTCTTTGAATCTGTGATGAACAAGGGAAAAGTGAGGACCACTGCAAACCTCAGTGCAGATAGATCTCAATGAGAAATGAGATGTGGTTTTCGTGTCCTTCTGCATTCTTCTTGAAGGGAGAGATTTGAGCTGTTTATCTGTTTCGCATCAGATTTTGCAAAGAAGTTCACAGCCCTCCATTTTTGACTATTTTAAAAGCTGCTAAGAAAGTAATAAAATCAGTATGGATGTCTGTCCATAGGCAGAAGGTAACATCTAGCCAAGGAATGTGTTCTGTGTCTTGCTAAATTGCAGTAACTTGGCGTCACAAGGAAACACAAAATTACACTTGCGAAGAGAGGCAGATTGTCCCCACTCAGTTACTGGCCTGGTGGACAAAATCCACCTCACAGGTGAGGGAGTAGATGCAGCTGAACATGTCCACATCCTCTGGCAGGAGTGTGTGGGAGTCGGGCAAGGCAGAGACAGACAGAATGCTGCTGATTCACCAGATTCTGTCTGCCGCATAGCTTGTAATTCTGAAGAGTGATAAGAAAAATGGAAGATTTTGCTTTTAAGTGGCAACAAGCTGGCTATGCCAGATTACCCATCAGTTCAAATCTCAGTTATATTAATAGCAGATTCACAGTTCCCATTTTGGAATATGCTGGCAAAGTACTAATATTCTGGCAAAAATTGAATTTGAACTCGAAGATTGCCTTAACTTTACCTTTCTCTGAAAAAATTAGTTTCCCGTGTTCCCAGAGAATTCATTCCATGTTCTTTCAGAAAGAAGAGATCTTGTATCTGTAGATCTAATTCTGACATTTTTATACTTGTGTAAATCAGCAGTAACTCCAATGAATTTTTATGTAATTTAGAAAATGCATGCATTTTTTTCCTTTAATGCAACAAGGTAAGTTTGTTTCCTATTTAGAGCTGGCTCTGGATGCCCTGACAAAATACCTCTACAAATATTTTCTTTGCTGTTACTGAAAAATTCCCATGATACTAGAATGTTCATCTTCTCCAAGATCAGAGATATTTCTTTCAACCAAAAATATCCATGCCTGAAGCTCCAGTTAGAGATAGAATAAGTGTCTGCTGACACATGTCACCAGTGCTTCAGAATCAAAACTAGAAGGGAGCAGGTGCTATAGTGCAGAAATACGCCTGGCAGTCGGAAAATAGAAAATTGCCAAAACCATGGCTGTCTACATACGTGTTATAAAAAGAGATGAACTGCACATGAACTTTGGGATTTGTTTACAAAAACAAGCAGAGCTTTAGGATATTAAATGCCCTTCCCCTTAATCACCCTAGAATTTGATAGGTGAGTAGGAGACTTCTGAAGGCATCAGTATCAGGGACGTAATTCCTATTGGCTTACATTTCTGTCTCTGATTTAATGCCAGGGGAAGTGATATTCAAACCCAACTTTTGCCATTACACATGCAGTTGCCTATGGGGAAAATTACAGTGGCTCTATTTAAAGTGAACATCTAAAGTATCTGCCACCGATTTCCAATGTAACCTTGGAGAAGTGACATAACACTTTTTTGGCTCTACTGTGTTATACATTACTGTGGAAGTGCACAATAGTAAGAGGAGACAGAATTTGTATTCCCTTTTGCCCATTTCCCAATTTATATATCCAATCCTGAGATGTATTTGCTAGGATTATCAAGGTGGACATCATTCAGGAATCTGATGTTGTAGTTGGATTGATTACAGTGGCAGCAATACTGTTCTTACTGTTCTTCCTCTTGTTACCAAACTTATATGGATATAGCAAAATGGTTGTGCCATAACCAAGCTGGTACAGCATAACCATAAATGCTGCAAAACCATCTCGAGCACAGACTATTGACCAGAATACATACTACCCTGAGTACAGAATCAGATTATAGCCCATGCTGAGACTCATGCTCCTTTGTCTTGAGTCTTGAATGCTGAAGAGGAATTTAGCAGAGGGCTTGTTTAAAATGCCCTTGCACATTTTTTGTTGAGGTGTTGGCTTTTAACACAAGCAGAGCTGATACCGGGTGTAGACAAAGTACACTTTGCCTGTGGAAGCACTGTCTCAGATATAATATACTGTAGTATATTATAGACCTACTGTAGTCTTCCTGCTTATTTTGCCTGAGCCAGAGGCCTGAAAGCCACATTTGCTGCTTTGTCTGCTACTGTTGGAAGGGTGACAGTCTCTGTTGAATAACTTTTGTTCCTCAAAAGAAAAAGTCACTACTGCTACACTTAAGGGTGTCTGTAGCAGTAAGTCCAGGGGTTTAGAGCTTGTTTCCTATTTATTTTGTTGCAACTTTTCCCTACCTTTCCCATGTTAGGGGAAAGGCCCTTTGAACTATGAGTGGTATCCAGTTCTTGTCTCCTAATAATGAGCCCCTCAGTCTCATACATTTCTAATTTCTCACACTGACAGAAATGTAGGATTTTGCCTGAGTGAAAACTCAAGCCTGGGGTTTAGTGTATTTTGTTTTGTTTAATTTTACTGTGTTTTACTTCAGAAAGTTCACATGACAAGACGAGGAGGGGCACTGAGTTAGCAATATTAAAGGCACAACAATAATAGCCTATTCTAAAAGATAAGAGTAAAGAAACACATCTTTCAGAGTCTGTCTTCATTTGCAGTGGTGCAGCTGTGCTGGCTTTGGGGAGGAGGCAGCAGTGTGGCACCCAGCCTCCAGCTGCGGGCTCAGTTCTGCTTCCAGGCACTCAGGCTTCGCTCCCAGCCATGTCTGCTGTCATGTTGGGATGTAACCTCCCAAAAGAAAGTCACATTGTTGCTCTATTTTGAAATTCTCAGAGTTTATAGGCTGGGGATTTTCTCCAGGAACATTTAGTCTCGTACTTGGGCATCTTTGTTCAATTTTTAGATCACCTTTGAAATTTTCACAAATAGCCCAAGTCCCATTATTTATATTACATGGGAGCAGAATAAGCACCCCAGTAATGTATTCTCTGAGACTTATAGCTAGACCATATAAGGAGAAAAAATGTGTTTTCCCTGAAACCTGCTTTGGTATTTACTATAGAATGTACCCAGAGCTAAAATCTTTATGCAGTGCATGGATTTTATCACAGATAAAACCTTATTGTTCCAAAGAGAAGAGTGATGACTAGGCAAAGGATGTGTGAATCCTCATATTGTGTCTTTCATCTCACTGATCCTCTTGTCATTGGCTGCTCTGCCTACAAAAATATACCTCACTCCTGCTTAGTGCTTTCAAAGACACCCATCTGGTAGCAGAATTTAACCAGAATTTTATGCTGCAGGAGTCAAGTACTTTGTGGCCCTTCTTCAGGTACATGTGGGGACAAAACGTTCCCTGAAATGTGAGTTTTCTGACTATAGTGGTCTCAATCACTGTGCACAGCTCCGTCCAAGCACAGGTATCCAGCAGGACAGTGATATGTGTGAAGCTGCTGTCTGGGGGTCTCTCTTGGCATGCCACATGAAAGCAATTTAACAAGTAGCACAACAGGAGAGTTACTGTGGTGGGCAGAGATGCAAGGAGCAAGCTGATCTCTTCATGCCCACCGCTCAGCAGGGAGAGCAGCTAAATTTTGCTACACTGGCTTCAGGGTCTCCCATGGGCTTTACTTGCTGGATCTATTCTATCATATATGCTCCCTTTCCTCTTCCCATGCCCACACTTAAATTGGGCGCTACTAGTGCTTTAAATCCATACTGATGTGGTTTTGGACCTTCCTTGCTAGCCTTATGCCAGGGACGAGTTTCCCTGTGCAAGGGAGATTCTCTATCCAATTTCAAGCACTTTGCTTTGCTTTGCTGACACAAAGTATCTTAACAGACTAAAGAATCTGATGCAGAAACCTTATAAAGTAGCAGGAATATTTGGGTATATCCCAAAGAAACCATTTTCACTGTTCCCAGAATGCAAGACAGTAGGATTATACAATGCTCAATAATTCTGCACTTTATAAATGATAGCATATTTAGAATACATAAAAAGATTTTAGGGGAGTGGCTTGCTTTTAGCTCTTTAATTTAGCTGTTAACCAACAAAATTGCTGCTTTAAACAAACTCCCTTTACAGAGCAGTTTTTGAGGATCAAGTTGCAAAGCTCAAAATGATCATATTAAAAAATATAACCCTGAAAACCAGGTCTGGAAGGCAGGAAGGAATCTTCCTTTACAACATGGATGCTAATAAAAGAAACCTGAAATTGCCTATTGTCACAGCTTTAATACTAACACTGGCTGCTTTGGCAGGCTTTAAAGACTGGACTGCGCTATAAAACCCAAAAATGTCCTGGACTTGGAGTTGTTTACACAAAATATGAGCAGATATTAAGTTACAGAGCTGGGGGTTGGAAGAGATGGCTTTAAAACCATCCTCCATGCACTGACGTCACGTGGAAGCCAGCTGCTGAGATGATGCTGAACGGAACTGTTTTTCAGTTTGCAAAAGTTGCGGACTTATTCAAAGAGAGTTGCAAATGCTGCCCCAGTTGGAAG